TTCTTGAAGTCTTAGACGATGTGTCAGTTTTTCCATGACGTAGATTTATTCTATCCAGTCCATTGTTCTTGACAAGGCGAGTCAGCCTGTCCCCATTTCCTCGTACGTACTTTTTTGATAGCTATTAATAAAATCTTAATCAGATACCTGTCTTTGCTTTGATATTGTTCAATTTGTAAAGATATAATACCATATAAGAATATCATATCCTAGAATCTTCTTCAGTTTCATTTATATTTTTCCAAAATTGAACAATTTTAGGACAGTTCCAGAATATGTGAGTGTTCAGCGTTCACTGACCCACAATTCCACCAATACCCCGTGTTTGTACCCTTATATCTATTCTTGACTTTAGGTGATGAAAAATCGTATTATATTTTTCCATGTGAACTCCCTCCATATCCGTGAATTGGTGGATGTCTGATCTGTTTTCTACGTATTTAACCAATCTTCATCTGAAATTGTCGTGTTAAGCTCTGATTCCCACTTTTCTTTTATATACTTAATTGAATGTTTATTCATCATCAGTTTTTGATACATAGAGTAGAAATTATTTTAATTTTTGTTCCTCTGAATGAATTTATCGCTATTTTGTTCAGCCCGTTCACCTCTACAGAGAGATCCCACCTGATTTCTGCCTTATAATACTCCCTCAATTGCAGCTATCTGTAAAATTCCTGTTTATTTAAATTCTACTTCTCCTTTATTTGTTGAAAACTCTCCAGCTCCCCGTCTTTCTGAAGGGTCCACCATCCTGTGTTTAGCACCTAAATACATCACAGACTTGCTATCAGTGTATCAACCCTCCAGACCACTCAGGTCTTCTGGCTCCAGCCTGCTCTGCAGACCTAGAACCAGAACTAAACATGGAGAAGCAGCATTTGGTTCCTATGCTCCACTTATCTGGAACAAACTTCCAGAAAACTGTAAAAGTGCGGAAAGCCTGAGTTCCTTTAAATCAAGACTAAAAACACATTTGTTTAGGATTGCCTTCCACTGTTCTAGTTAAACAGTTCAACTGAAACATATTTTCTTTAGTCCAACTGTTTTTAATATTCTTTTTTGTTTCTGCATTATTTTATTTTATTTATTTTTTCCTACTTGCTTTGATTCTGTTTTATCTTCCTATATTTTAATCATGTAAAGCACTTTGCATTGTCTTTGTACTGAATTGTGCTATACAAATAAATGTGCCTTATCTTGCCTTGCCTGTGATCCCCTTGCTTATCCAGACTCACAGGAAACAGACTGAGACATATAAAATGTAAGAAACCTGCAAGAATTAAAGCACAAATAATAAAAATCAGAGTATAAATGATTTTTGAAATATAAGGTTCATTATATAGACTTTGGCTGTTAATGACATATGGGACAAATTTCTATATTAGATTTAGCTGCTTGTGAAGGAGAATAATCAATGTTAGCATCAGTATCGGCTGTTATTCGTAATTTTTTATACAGTAATGTTTTTAAACTCTTTATAAATAAAGCACTAAAGGCAGGCATCTGTCTAGAACTATAAATATCAGAGTACTGTGGTTCTCTTGTGTTCTCAGCAATAGGAAAGCATTCAATAAATATAAACCCTATTGAAAGCGTTTGGGCAGGCGCACTGGAAGCTGTTTCAAGCGAGGGGGGCTGATGGCTGGGTTGGAAAACACGTGACGTCATGTTGAGGGCTGTGGCTGACGTTTTTAACATAATATTGTAGGCCTACATTTGTCGCCCAACACTGCCATTTAAAATGCATCGGAACAAAGCATGAACATTTTAAACTTTATTTCTTCTCTTTTAATTATTCAAAACAAACAACAGCTCCCAATCAACAGGATCAGGAATACTTGAATGAAACATGGCCTAAATATAGCCTAAACTGAGCATTGAACGTCTTGAAAGTCCATTCGACTATGGATATGGGGAATGATTTCATATCTGAAACAAAAAACACACACAAAAAAAAAAACCAAACAAATTTCATATTTTATCACTAAATAGCTTAATACAGAAATAATATTTAGTGATATGCAGCCTTATTCTAGCGTATAGGGGAATTAAAACCATTTTTCACCTCGAAATAGTCAGAAATACGTTTCTGCTGCCTATTGCTAGCCATGCCTAAACGAATGTGAGGTGGCGGAAGCTTCCGGGGGAGTAGCCTAGTTTTTTATGAAATATTAAAATAATGAATCATTAGTTTATATCTTATACACAGCCCATCATTTTAATCCCATATCAAACACAGTCTTTTAAAAAATAAATACATAAATGATTTCATGTTTTTAAGTACAATTTTATGTTACTCCACAGCCCCCCACCATGGGGGGCTGATGCTATGACGAGGGAGGCTGCAGCCCCCGAAGCACCCCCCTTCCCGTGCCACTGCGTTTGGGTTGAGTAGCTGTAGGTCCATCAGCCCCCACCCTTAGAGCGCCCCACCCTTAGAGCGCCCCCACCCTTAGAGCGCCCCACCCTTAGAACGCCCCCACCCTTAGAGCGCCCCCACCTACTTTTATCAAAAAATTACACCTTTGACTGAGATGAGCTTCACTCCAGGAAGGAGGTATTTTGTTGTTACTGAGCGTCCAATTGAAAGAAGCTGTAAGTTCTGACATCAGCTCTTCTCTAATTGTCTTGTACCGTTCTGCTGGTAACCATCACTGCCTGGAGATTTACTATTTTTTAATGTATTTATTGCCTCTTTCACTTCCTCTATTATGATTGCTGCTGTCAGTGTCTCGTTTTGTAGTTATCAATTGTTCTTAAATCTAATGCATTTAATAAGGTTCTCATTTCCTCCTCATCTGCCAAGTCAGATTATGTATATAGTTTTTCATAATATTCTCGAAAATGTTCCTCTATTTCCTCTGGATTATCTGTTAGTTATCCTGTGTGTGGGTTTCTAATTTTATATATCGTGTGTTTTATGTATCATGTGTTTGTTGTTTGTGTATAAGTTTCGCTAATAGTTTAGTTGCCCTTGAAGCTGCTTCGTAGTAATTCTATTTAAAAAATGTGTTCCTTTTTTCAGTCTCTCCTAGTAATATGTATTTATTTTGGTTTTAACTAACCTGATTTCTTGTTAAACCTTTGAGTCTTTTTTGTTTTCTGATATTCTTGTTCTAAGTCCCTAAGTCTCTCTGTATTTATCCTGTATGTCTGTAGTTTAATTCTTTAATCATGTGCAGTTTCAGCTATTAACTTGATGACTGCCTTCATGGCATCCCATAATATTGTCGGTCCTACATTTCCATTATTATTTTCTTTAGCATATTGTTAAATTTCTTCTTTTATTTTTTCTCTCCATTGTTTACTATTCAATATTCCCACATTCAGTCTCCATGCTGAATTCCTGTTCCTGTTGTTTAGACAAATCTTTAAATAAATTGGATTATGGTCAGATGTTCAGAAATCTGAACATTTCAGAAACACCTGAATGCAGCGTTTTCCTTAAAGCGTTGCTCAACGTTTCAGTTAAGGATCTCCATCAGGCTGCTTTACTTGCTTTTTTGTTTTGTTTATTATTATTTCTGATGAACCAGAAGATAACTGAAGGGGTTAAATAACCAAATACAATGTTTTTTATTGTAAAACGCGCATACAGTCTTAAAAAACACTATTCATGTCTTAGGGGTGCTTTCATTCGTATGGCTTCAGCACCTCAGAAACAGGCTAAAAACGCCCATGCTTCCTTGTTCGTAGTGTGTCTTACGCTGCAGCGTATCTGGAGTTGTACTTCTGGACTATAAACTCACTCTACATTTATAGTGTGAATAAAATGGATTCCTTACAGATGTTCACGCTAAGTGGAAATGTCCTTTCTAGCCTCTACAGGGACAGCATGTCCATTGGGCAGCAGGTATCATTCTGCTTTAGAGGGACAGTTTGACTCATTCAGGGACATTTTTTCTTCTAATTTGTGGGACAGGAGTGAAAATAAAAGGCCGCCCCTCCCTGGCAGGTCATCTCTTTACACCTGGCTGTGTATTTAAAGGCCTCTCTGTAATGAGAAATCCTTGCAGTGCCAGCTCTTCAATCTCTCTTTGTAGCCTAAAGCATAAATCTTTATCAGACTTTCCATCTTTATCGTATCGTTTTGTTTAATGCGTTCTTCTCTAACTATTTGAAAGGTAAAGCTCTGTAGGAGCGTTAGGTTTTAGCCTGTAGTGCCGATCACTATGATGGCACACAGGGACGTGCACAGATAGACAGTAGGTGGTGAATTTAAAAGCCAATCAAACCTAGAGTCTAGAGTTTTGTAATTTTGTTCCAGAGGATGTGTAGCTCCGCCTCCTTAGGGCCAGGGGTGGATTTAAGAAATGTGGGGCCCTAAGCAAAGACAGGCAGGGGGCCCTCTGGACTGAGAAGACAACACATAGAACAGCCCCATTCTACAGATAGAGAAATGTTAATAGAATAGACATCCATTATCTGTTCTAGGTTGTGTTCCTCTCTTCTTGTCCCTTTTCTTCTTGTTTTCCTCTCTATGTTTTGTACTCAGCTGACTTTTCATGCTGTCTCTAAAGGAATGAAAGATTTTTTCCAAGCACTAAGCTCACTTAGCTGATTGCTCCTTCCTGTGTTTCCAAAAAGGCCAAAGTAAATAACCCAGTCCTTCTTTTCACTGTAGACAAGCCATGATCTGCTTCTCTGTTCTCCATTTTTCATTTCGGATGAAATAATAGCTGCATGAATCATGACAGCAGACAAGATAGAGGAGAGCAGGAGGCGGGGTTACCAATCTACTCGCTCTGGAGAGCAGAGTTCGCTGCTTTTAGATGTTGTCTCCAAAGTCTCCAGTAGCAGAAAAAAGTCTCTAGATTTGGCGCTAGGAGCTTTTTAGAAATCAAAGTGCTAGAGGGGTCTGAAAAGTGGCTAAATATAGCGACTTAAGCACTAAGTTGGCAACACTGCTCTTTGCATGGTTTGTTTTCAAATGGTTTGCTGCTGTCTGTTTGGACCTTTTTTTTAACTGTCTTAGTGGCTCGTGTTTTTTACAGTAGGCTGACAGGAAAGGGGGAATGAGAGAGAGGGAGAGACATTCAGCAAAGGACCACAGGCCGGCTTCAAACCCGCCTCATCATTAAAGTAACTCTTCAGCAATTTTATTTGTTTAGTTTTATGAATCTTGATATCAGCTGTTGATGTAAAACATAATCTGATGCCAGAATAGATTCTAGATTAGATTTAATCAGACTGCTCTTTAAAGCTACAGTGTGTAATAATTACAGGGATGTACAGTCAGAAATGTAATATATTATACATAACTATGTTATTTATCATCATCTACGAGCTCAGCCTCTTAACCTTAATATTTGCGTTGCCTTAGAATTCGTTATTTATAATTACATAGGAGCGGGTCTCGCAGCCATGGAGGCAGACATCTTTGCGCTACGGCAGCGCAGAGCCAACAAACTAGCGATTGCGAGATCGCCCATTACGCTCGAAAGTAACTACGGCAAGTCGAGAGAGATTAACTGAGACGGTACTGAACACACAGACTAATGAAATACTATCTGTAAAATTATCTATGTAAACAAACCTCATCACTTGAGAAGGTAGGTGATGCGGACGTCGTGGAAGACATTTTGTCCCGTAACGCTTGCCGTACTGTTGGGGGGGAGAAGCGGTGGGGGGGAGATGTTCATGTTGCTGCAGTCTGCAGTCTGGCCGCTAGATGTCGCTAAAAGTTACACACTGTAGCTTTAAAGCACCTTCTATTGGTTGAATAAAGCTAAAGCTGCATCTATCAGCGTGTCCAGCAGAGGGCGCTGTTTCACCGTGTTCAGACCGTCTCCCTGTAAACAAGCTGGCAGCAGGTGGACAGCTGACAGCACCGGGTTCATTTCAAACAAAACACACCGGATCGGACCCGAACCATGGATCCTCACCAGAACCGGAGGGGATCAGGGAGGCAGCAGAACTCCAGAGGAAGAATGAACCCATCAGGAGCTCCTGGACCGGACCAGGCAGATCCGAACCTGGCCGAACCGGCAGCTGAGAGTCAGAACCAGGCAGCAGCGGACAGCAGACAGCCGCAGTAGTAAGTAAAACCAGCGGCACCGAGACCAGAACCGGCCGGACTCCCACATGTTTGATGCTTAGACGAAAAAGAAGCTTCTGGTTTCTGTTTGCAGCAGAATCCAACATTTAGTTTGTTCATTTAAAGTAGATCTGGAAAGGTTTACTGCGGCTTCAGTTTCAGTTTCGTTTCTGATGATTGGAAAGGAAAACGTTGCCTTCACCGTCTGTGGTAAATCCAAGCTCCCTTCAAAAAGAAGGTTGTCTAAAATAACATATTTTTATATTAACATAATGCAAAAAGACGTATAAGTTGATTAAACGGTTTACTTCTAATATAGTATATAATAGTATATTAGTAATAAAAAATATAAAATGTCTGAGTTGCTGTGCTTTGAAACATGCATCCATCCTATCAGAATATTCTATTACTCTTAACCACACTAGGAATATTTAAATAAACTGAACCATTTGTTTGTTTTTTAGCAGAAAAAAACTGAGAAAATAAGTTAAATATTCAGAAAGTTGATAAAATCTGATTCTGTTCCTGCTCAACACATCAGACCGAGCGGAGCTGTCGACCGCCCCAAGATGGCGCCACCAAATCACGTCAGCGCCCATAGGAGAAAGCGATCGATGCGGGTCTGCTCTGATGTTATGGTTTGAACGTTTGAAGCCATAAACTGTCCTCCAGCGCCCTCTGCTGGCTCAGATAGGATAACCATGCCACGCCGCTAACCGGAAGCTGCTTGTTGTTCCTGAACCACAGAGGAAGCTGGAAGATGTTTTCTGTTGAGGCCCCAACAAGACTGCCCCCCCGCCAAAAAAAACACAGAAAATCTTAAAAAAAAAATAGAATACCGATTTTTATATTAATTTATACATAGAAATTGAACTAATTATGTACATTATAAATAATCTAATGATTATGACATTTGTTTATTTAATTCTACATTCTAAATTAATTTCGTTTTATTTAAATGCAAAATGTATGAATTTCAAAATTTTACAATTTAATTGCATATTTGATAACTATATCATGTACTAGATAAATAAGTTCCAAAAAAGTTAAAATCCATCCACTGGACTTTGTTTCCAAGCTTCCCATCCAGGAAGCTTTTTCAATTTTCAACGACATTTGAATTAAAAAATCTTCCTGGATGGAAGAGAAACGTCTTCAAGCTTGGAAACAAAGTCCAGTGGATTGTTTTTAACTTTTTTGGACTGACTATGACCTGGATGACTGAGAATCTTCACAAGAATAGATAAATAAATGTTACACCTACTTATTTATTGAAACATTTGAGTATTTCATACCAATTCATACATTTCATGGTTTATTTTGTTGTTCCATATCCAAAGAATCCCCCCCGACCCCGGGAATCGCAAGTTGGTGTTAGATTATGTTCTTTAAATTTCACTTTAATTTGTTGCCTTTTGAACTCACTCTACATCTGACACTGAATGCATGTTTTTAGCATTTTGATTTCTTTTTTGTTGGATTTTAATTGTTATTTTATTATCTTTCTCTCATATTTTATTTATTTTGCATATCTGACAGAGATATCAAGTACCAAAGTACAAATACTTTATTACCTTATTTAAATAGAAATATTGGCTATTTATACTTAACTGAAATGATAATTTTTTTTACTTTAACTCCTTCCATTTTGAAAATAGACTCGTTAGTTTTTTTTTTCATTTAAGCTATTTTTCATTCTGGCCTGTTGGTATTTAAAAATATAAAAACAATCAAAATAATTAGTTTCATCCAGACCATTAATTTCTTTATGGTTGGAATTGGTGCTGCCCCAACCTGTTGCTCACCACAAATCAAAATAAATCATTTTTCCAGATGATGCAAAGTTAAATGTGACTCTGTTACCTTTAGTTATAAAACTAAGAAAATGAAGTCTGAGGAAGTTATCATCCAGAATTGTAGAAAAATCTTCCTTTAATGCAGTAAAGATTCTGTCCTTAACATTTTTTCCTGCATTTCTTTTACTTTTATATTTTAAGTAGTTTTAAAAATGCTACTTTTACACTTTTTACTGGAGTAAAAAGCTGAAGTTGATCCTCTAACTTTTACAAAAGTTGGATTTATACTAAACATGAATAGTTTTGACACCTCTGTTCTTTTATAGGTCCATATAAATAAATATGGATTGATTATATATATATGTGTGTGTCTATAAGAATGTGGTTTATTTAGCAGAATGAACTGATGCTGCTGCAGCTGTTCAAACTAACCTGTCTAAACTCAGGATCAAATGCAATCCTAACCAGCTGTTTGTGTCTCAGTTTAGGCGCGTTCACCGTAATCCCACCCAACCAATCTCGCCGGAACGAGATGAAAGCAAGTAATGATCCTCCCAAATCTGATTTGATCTTCATGAAGGTTTGTTGAATGTAGCTTCCAGTGACTGATGTGGGATGTTTCTGCAGTGGCTCAGAAAGAAGAGGAAGAACTTCAGAGGTACAAGGAGGCAAACCGGCCTCCTCCTCTGCAACTTAATCCAGAGAGACTAGGTAATCATCTCAGAGACATTTTGTGCTGCCACAGGATTATCTGTACTTAATAGTTGCTGATATCTGTTAATCCGTCCAGGTGGTGGAGATGTAAGCTTAGATGAAGCCAGGCAGAGACAGTTAACACAACTGAGGAGCTCCAAGCTGCAGAAGAAGGTAAAACCATGATCCTCTTTAATGATGTTTAGCTGTGTGTTATAAATCGTACAAAGTCTGGAAGCTAATATAATCTGATGGATTAAAATCAACCATCTACTCTACTGCAGCAAGACAATCAGAAACATTCCAGATAATTGAAATGACTTTTTATCCTTAAACAATATGATTAAAATATGAATAATCTTTTAACTTTGAGGGTTTTCATTTTCCAGCTTAAAGAGGAGGAGGCGAAGAGGAAGAAAAAACAGGAGGAGGAGGAAGAGCTGCAGAGGATGAAGGACATTCAGAGGGAGAAGGTAACCATCACAGCTGCATATAGAAATGATGTTTAATCTGATTAGAGTTTAGTTATGAGGAATATATTGTTGGGCTGCTCAGTGCTGCAGTGGGTAGCACTGCTGCCTTGCAGCAGGAAGGTTCCGCCTTCAATTCCCGGCCCAGGTCTTTCTGCATGGAGTCTGCATGTTCTCCCTGAGCATGCGTGGGTTCTCTCCAGGTACTCCTGCTTCCTCCCACAGTCCAAAAACATGACTGTTAGCTTCTCTAAATCCTCCTTAGGTGTGTGATTGGTTATTTTTCCTGTCTGCCTCTCTATTGCCCTGCGATGGACTGGAGACCTGTCCAGGTTGGACCCCGTCCCTCTGTCCAGGATGGACCCCTCCTCTCTGTCCAGGATGAACCCTGCCACTCACCCGTAGACAGCGGTAGAGATAGACACCACCACCCCTCGCTCCCCCAGCAGGGATAAGCGTGACAGAAAATGGATGGAGTATTTCTGTTTGATCATTTCGTTTAGCTCCTTCCAGTCCTGTGTTTTGCCCTTGAGAGCGCGCATGCTCAGCACATGACAGGAATTAATGGAGCAGGATGAGGAGCAACAGTTTTCTGACCCTTAAGGTTATTTTAGTTCAACCTTCACCACAAGTTTGAAGATAGGACAGACCATCCCTTCCTTTTCTAGAAACACGGAGCTTCGTAATTAAAGTTCCTCTTTACAGTAGCAGCCTTTCAAACGGCTCTTCCCAGTCAGCAGAATCCCCTCCAACTTCCAGCCACTGCAGTGACCCCCCTCTTGCATTTGTTTTAATTTTACTCCACCCTTTCACTGAATTACAGGGTCTGACCAGGAGATGATTCTTCTCTTTAGATCTTAATGTCCACAAATCATGACAGAGAGAATATCGATATGACCTCGGCTCTGATCGGCACCTCTGACGTCCCCACACCGCGCCAGTTGCTTCAGGGCTCCGTTTCATAAAGCAGTTTTCTAAATCTGAAATCAGGGAAACTGACATTTCCTTTTCACAAATAGTTCCCTCAACCCCTGTTTCTGTTGCCATAGTCATCAACATCCTCCCAGAGCTAACCTGGTCAGCAGCAGGTTTTCTTCAGTAAACTCAGTGTCCTCTGTCTCCGCTCTCCTTACAGCCAATCACGCTGTTTTATTTCCTGATTTTGATTTTTGTCATATTTTTGTGCATAAAAAAATATGTATTATTCACTGGGTCTGTTAGAAACATTAGGTTTTTAAAACAAACATTACAAGTCTATCTGATGAGGATCCTATTAAACAATGATTGGCTTTAATTTGCCGAGAATATTTATAGGGAGAGAATTTTAAAACTAATTTAACAGGGCATGTTAACTGAGTTAATGTTAACGGGCTTATAACCCAGTTTTGGTTTGTTTAATATGAGCGAGATATGGATCATGTTATTTTTATTTAGTTACATGTACATACATTAAGAACTACTGAGATTATTTTCAGATTACACATAAATAGATTCATTAATCTCCTGGGGGAAAGGAATTACTTTAGGATTAGGATTCACTCCATGATAACAACCTAATGAGCCTACTGGCACAATCTGAAGCCATTCTATGGGTCTGATAGGCGCTAAAAACATCCATTTATTGGGATGATAACATCCGAAGCGCAGCTGAAAACACCCACTTAGTATTTACTGTGTAAAAGAGACTGAATCGACATGAGGAGGAACCCATGAGATGATGAACAGGTTCCATACATAAGAATAACGTTTTTATTCTTCATCTTCACCTGCTGACAGGAGATTTCGCCTAAATAGATACATTGATCCACTGCCTTTCAAGAATAAGACCGTATTAGTATCGCGGTTACAACACTTCTATGGCAAGCCATTTTGATATTTATTAGTTTTAGTACATATGTATTCCTGATATCTGGGAGAAAAAATTTTTTTTCTTTGACTATTCTTTGTCAAACAAAATGACATTCTCCACATCTAGAATAAACATTCTGGACATCTAGAAATGAATTTCAGATCTCCATATTCCTAAAATTACTAGTTAGCATTTTTATTATTTTAATTATGAAGAAATGTATTTCAGATATCATAAATAGTTTTTCAGTCAAGCTGATAAATGTCAGAATGACCACTTAAAATGTCTAAAGATTTCTGGATATATCAAACTTAAAAAATTTTTTTTTTTTTTTACTATCTAAAGTTCAGTCTCTGCCACAAAAATATAGTTAGGTCTTGGATTGTGATTTTGATCAGGAAGAATTTTAGTGAACTACAAATGGAACAACAGAGAAGAGTGCTTATAGTAAATGTAAAAACGGCCTGCCATAGAACACCTTTTAAACTACAGGTGCTGGTCATAAAATTAGAATATCATGAAAAATTAGATTGATTTCAGTAATTCCATTTAAAAAGTGAAACTTGTATATTATATTCATACATTACATACAAACTCATATATTTCAGATGTTTATTTTGTTTAATTTTGATGTTTACAAATGACAACAAATGAAAATCTCAAATTCATCATATCAGAAAATTAGAATATTGTGAAAAGGTTCAAAATTGATGGCCCCTGGTGCCACACTCTAATCAGCTAATTAACTCAAACCACCTGCAAAAGCCTTTAAATGGTCTTTCAGTCTAGTTCTATAGGCTACACAATCATGGGGAAGACTGCTGACTTGACAGTTGTCCAAAAGACGACCATCGACACCTTGCACAAGGAGGGCAAGACACAAAAGGTCATCGCTAAAGAGGCTGGCTGTTCACAGAGCTCAGTGTCCAAGCACATTAATAGAGAGGCGAAGGGAAGGAAAAGATGTGGTCGAAAAAAGTGTACAAGCAAGAGAGATAACCGCACCCTGGAGAGGATTGTGAAACAAAACCCCTTCAAAAATGTGGGGGAGATTCACAAAGAGTGGACTGCAGCTGGAGTGAGTGCTTCAAGAACCACCACACACAGACGTATGAAAGACATGGGTTTCTGCTGTCGCATTCCTTGTGTCAAGCCACTCTTGAACCACAGACAGCGTCAGAAGCGTCTAAAGAGAAACAGGACTGGACTGCTGGTGAGTGGTCCAAAGTCATGTTCTCTGATGAAAGTAAATTTTGCATTTCCTTTGGAAATCAAGGTCCCAGAGTCTGGAGGAAAAGAAGAGAGGCACTTCATCCACGTTGCTTGAAGTCCAGTGTAAAGTTTCCACAGTCAGTGATGGTTTGGGGTGCCATGTCATCTGCTGGTGTTGGTCCATTGTGTTTTCTGAGGTCCAGGGTCAACGCAGCCACATACCAGGAAGTTTTAGAGCACTTCATGCTTCCTGCAGCTGACCAACTTTTTGGAGATGCAGATTTCATTTTCCAACAGGACTTGGCACCTGCACACAGTGCCAAAGCTACCAGTACCTGGTTGAAGGACCATGGTATCCCTGTTCTTAATTGGCCAGCAAACTCTCCTGACCTTAACCCCATAGAAAATCTATGGGGTATTGTGAAGAAGAAGATGCAATACACCAGACCCAACAATTCAGAAGAGCTAAAAGCCACTATTAGAGCAACCTGGGCTATCATAACACCTGAGCAGTGCCACAGACTGATCGACTCCATGCCACGCCGCATTGCTGCAGTAATACAGGCCAAAGGAGGCCCAACTAAATACTGAGTGCTGTACATGCTCATACTTTTCATGTTCATACTTTTCAGTTGGCCAACATTTCTATAAATCCTTTGTTTTTATTGGTCTTCAGTAATATTCTAATTTTCTGATATGATGAATTTGAGATTTTCATTTGTTGTCATTTGTAATCATCAAAATTAAACAAAATAAACATCTGAAATATATGAGTTTGTATGTAATGTATGAATATAATATACAAGTTTCACTTTTTAAATGGAATTACTGAAATCAATCTACTTTTTCATGATATTCTAATTTTATGACCAGCACCTGTAGTGCTGTGCTGTTTCTCTGTCTTTTAAACACATTCTCCTTTCTTATTTGTTTTTATTTTTTGTATTTTTACATTAAAATCTGGTTCCTAGTCCCAGAGGGGTGAAATAGGCACTTCCTGTCATGGTTACACGATGACTCAGTGCTCCACTGATTATGGCTTTTCATACTTGTTGTGCACGCGCTAAACTCTGAGTGGACCTAGTTAAAATTAATTGGAATAAATGATAGCAGCTGAAACCGAACACTCTGAGTTCCGGACTTTAGGCTAGAGATGAGGATTTAAATCTGAATTTGTTAAACCTGCTTCGTGATACTGACCCCTGATCTAACAAGCAGAAACAACTCTGTTTACACCTGATAAACATGGAGCAGCTCTGGTGAGAGGTTATCAAAATGATAATGGAGCAAAACAATAAAGCACACTGAGATCAGCTTTTTATGCCAGTGGGAAAAGAGTCGATTCGTTCCAAAAAACTTAATAAAAAAAAACCAATCCACTGGACTTCGTTTCCATGATTGAAGACGTTTCTCTTCCCATCCAGGAAGCTATTTCAAGTCAAAATGTGAGAAATAGTGTTGAGTTTGAGGCTTTATAGAGTGGACCCAAACAAAGCCTTGTTTCAGGTTAGAAAACATGCAAATTGAAGCGGATGAATGGGTCCGCCCCTTTGTAATGGGGTTCGTTTGGGTTCTCCATTAGCCTGCAATACCTGATACCTGTCTTTGTTTTTAAAAAGGCGATCGAAGAACCCAAAGACTGCCCATTCCCAAGGGGCGGAGCCGCTCTTCTGGTTCAATCTGCATGTTTTCTAAGCCAAAACAAGGCTTTGCTTTTGGTCCACTCTATAAAACCTGGAACTAAACGCTATTTCTGACATTTTGAATTGATAAAGCTTCCTGGATGGGAAGAGAAACGTCTTCAAACTTGGAAACAAAGTCCAGAGGATTGTTTTATTTTACATTTTTGGATTGAGTAGGACCTGGAGGACTGAGAATCTTCACCAGCAAATGCTGATTGTTAGCGGGTCGACCCATGTTTGGAAAAAAACGCGTTGAGTAATTTTCAGTGGGAAAGAGGCTTTTGTTAGCCTAAAATGTTGGAAGAAGTTTCTTTTGAAGAAGTTTCTGATTTAGCCGTGTTATCCGGTAGAACTTTGGTGTTGTGATTTTATGTTCTATTCAATTCTCAGCCAGCTGGGAATTTATATTTCTGATACTTTAATATGTTTATTTCCTTATTATTTCGGCTGTTATATAGTGTTTATGACACCCAGTCCTACTAACTGTGTGTTAGAACAATAAATGAAAGAGTGATTCGAGCTCTAATCATGGTCAAAAAGTTAGATCTGCACATACATGGAATAAATTCACCACAACTTCTGTTCAAACTGTAAGAGGTTATTAACAAAAATCCTTCAGCTCCAAGTCAAACATATTACGGTTAACTAAAACTAGTGAAACTAAACTAAACTCAACTAAACTAACCTACTATGTACAAAGAGGAAAGGAAACATGGTTGAAAAACATATTGCAGTTTAAGATGGATTCTGTGTTTGAAACCAAAGTTTATCTGGAAGAATTTGGGATCTGATCAAATTAGCTTTTCACTCATTTTAAAGAAATTGGAATGTTTTCAGACCAATTCACAATGCAAATCCATTAAGGGTGAATAAAACATTATTTGGCCAAATAATGTTTTATTAAATTATTTGCTTAATCAAGAACCAAAAACCTTTAGTTAAATGATTCTTTACCCTCTTTGAAATAGCTAGCAGCGAATAGACATCAGGATTCCACTAAATGAGTCTTGGTCAGACTTGCTAATGGAAATGTAATGAGCATCTGAGGAACACATGAACACTAATGTTATATCAGTGTTTAACCTTTAGTGAATAAAGCTTGTCCAAGCTTTAGCAACAGCTCAAAACATGTAACTATAGTATAGGATGCAGTCCATCCTGTTAGCTTGTCTTTACTCATCAGTAAAATCATTTTGTTTATTCTGTCCCTAATCATGTCAGACCTGCAAACCTTTTTGTCCATGTCCATTTAGAATACTTGAGTTTGATCCAGCAAGGCAGGGAAGGCTCTCTTTTGTCTCAGTGGCTCATTAAGGCAGGCTTCTCATCCAGTCTGGTTCTATAAGTTCTGAAAATCAAGAGAAATGTGTTGTAAAAGGTCTGTTTTGCAGCAGTTTGGTTCTGAAAGCTTACCACAATTACCCATCCTTGATGATTCTGGAGATCTGCGTCTTTTTGGGCCCAGATTTCCACTCTTGCTGCCTCCCAGACATTCATCCAGGCAGCTCCATGGGAAAAGAGAAAAGGAAAGAGCGTCTTCTGTGGTTCTTTTCTGTCCTCACACAGAGGGGGCTGGGAAGTCACACCTCTGTGGGCTGCCTGTGGATGTCTTGGCTGATTTGGTTATTCTCCAAATTTGAGTCCTCTTCTCTGGTCATCATGTCAAGATGAAACATGGAGACTGGTTCCCAATGTCCAAAAACCATGACCATGGCATATCGCACAACAGTGGGTAAGCCCTTTCTGTCACGTCATGTTTCATGGTCGGACTGAACAAGCTCGGTATTCTGCATCCTGATCTATCCTGATGCTGCAGTGCATCCTGATCTATCCTGATGCTGCAGTGCATCCTTCAAGGAGTTTCTATGCTGTTTTCTCGTCACACGGTCATTGTTTAAAACTCATTTTGGTCCAACTGCTGACAATGCTGAATCCTGCGGTGATATTTTGTCAGGAACCTCTGGTCTTGGCTTATTCCTCAGCTGTGTGGCTTTATTTTATGATCCCGGTTAATTTTTACAGATGTTTTCACACAATACAAAAAAAAAAAAAAAAAACCCTCAAGAAACGACTCCTCGCTTTAAAGGGAATAGTTTGAACATTCATATGTGACTGAGGAATATAAAGTAAAACGGCTCCTTGTTTTCCTCTCCTGCTTCGTTTATCCCTGAGTCATTTTCAGCCTGTAGATGTCAGCAAAGTCAAGCATCCCTCCACTGCGGAGGCTCCCACTGTGGCTCCTCCAGTAAACACAACATCAGCCTAAAGAACCACCTGACAGAAGCGTTTGTGGCTTTTCAGCCGCTAACGGCATGTCAGACGTGTTTTTGTCTGTCTGGCCGTGCTCAGGGTCGGATCGAGGTTAATGAGTTGCTGCTTCTCTGGAAAAGGCTGATTGACATGGAGGCCAAGCTGCTTCCCTGAAGATCTTTTCCTGTCATGACACTGAAACATCTTGCTAATCCAGCTAATAAACCCATGGTGAGAAAACAGTTTAATCTTAGATTCTGGACGTGATGGAACATAACGCTGTCAAACGCCAGCCTCCTACTTGGGAATACATCATCCTGATCCCTTGTTTTTACTGGAATTACTGTCTCTGTGCTCACAGACTGAGGCAGAGCGTGACATCATCAATGTAGCCTTTAGATGCCGAGACAAGAGTCTGCTGTCCACACTGGGTTAAAAACATTACAGGTTAAAAGAACTGGAAAAAATAGAATCTGAAAAAGTCATTTTTTCTCAAAATAAGCGCAACAGCAGAACCAGACAATTTACATTTAAAATAAGAAAAACTATTGCATTTTCTTATTTCAAGTGCAAATATTTAATTATCTTATTCAAATACATTTGCAAATCCTCTTAATTACCTGCTTAAATGAAAAATTTTGCAGTGAGGAAAGAGGCTAAAGAACTTCCCACGGGTAAAAAAGGAATAAAGCAAATAAAACGGTTGGTTTATGTATAGAAAGCTTAACATCTCTGTAGATGTTTAAAAATATGGAAGTAAAAGTTTGGGAACCACTTCTGTAGGCGATGCAACCAGAGCCAGTCGGAAGCATGAGCAAACCGGGCGGCTTCTTAACACCCCAAAACCACCAAAGGCATCCAGTAAACGCTTGAATTTATACAGATATGCATTTTTTTTTATATATCTTTGTTGTTGAGAATGAGAATATTAAACATTTTAATTTGTCAGATTCATCAGATGGATGAAAATAATTTAGATTCAAAACGTTTACTAACCTGACTCCGCCAGATGGATTTGCTCCGCATATCCATCTGGAAACCTTCCGTTGAAGTAATTTTGGGAAGGGGCGAAAATACTGGTTAGCTGATTGGCCTATGTTGGTGATAGACGGGCCAAATAAACCAATCAGATCAACGAAGCATATGACGTACTAACAGAGCGACGACGAAGAGGAGCCAATTGATAGATCAAACTCTTGCCGAAACCAGTCGGGAGAAGAGCAAAAACATCTTTCCCTCTGAGAAAAGCCTCCAGAGCAGTGTTTTGCTCTTCTTTCAGTGAAGAAATACTCTGTAATTCCGATAAAACTTGCTCGATAGCCACGCTAACGCTAGTTTCATCGGCTGAAGCCGCCATGTTCGCGCTTCTCGTTGCGTCACACCTCAACCCGCCTCAAAGCCAACGCTGATTGGACGTTCGTTTGGTGAACGGCTCCAGATTTCCTTCAACGGAGAGTCTCCAGACTGATCTGCGAGTGAAACCTTGAAAGCTCGAGAGATCAGGATGGTCTCACGAGGCTAGAAGTTTAACTCCTCCCAGCCAGTAAGTGGTCCCCTCGTTCTCGTTGTTCTGCATTGTTGTTGTGCGCCACCAACTGGTTGCTGCGTCCACTAATTAGCCTGATAATCCAGACTAAATGTGAGATTAAATGTGTAATCTAGTCTGGCCCCGATGAATGAGACATCGGAAGATTGTTGATGAGAACAACCCGTTGTTTTTCAAACCATGTCTGTGCCTATTGGCCAACGCTCTGACCAATGAGAGCAACTGATTGTGACGTACGAAGCGCGACAGGTATGGGGTTCCGTTAGTGCCAAAAATATGTTTATGTGTCTTCTGGTGTATCCATGTATCGTGCTTATGTAATGGACGTTGTATATGTTGTGTCTATATGCTGTGAGCATATGTATCGTGTCTACATGAGGGATAACGTGCATTGCATTATTCTTCACTTTATGTTGTTTGACCATGTTGTTGAACCTGTCAGCCTGTCATCTCGTTTTGCTGTCGTTTCTTTTGTTGCTGGTACAACCAGCAGAGGGAGATGACGTTTGAACTTTAACACGTTTAAACTTTAACACTCCTGTGTCATCGTTTCTTTCAAATAAGCTTCATAAATAAAAAACAAAAAACCCATTTGGATTTCAGATTCTAAGAATTTACGTGAAAAAAATCTTTGTTTTGTCACAGAAAAAAATAAAAAGCAAATGTTTAAAAGGTCAGACGCTTGTGAGAAACAGAGTTTGCTGTTGTAGATGTGAGGGGCTTTAAATAAGTGATTCCCATGACCCATTTCTGGTTGTTTGATCTCTCTGAAATTTCGCATGCCCCATCATATGACCTTGTAAAACGTTTTTCAAGGTCATATGATGGGGGATCGTCACCATAAGTTACTTTTCTTCCGTCAAAAGTATCCCATGGTGTGCAGATCACTGCCCAACATGCAACAGACTCCATTTTAGACTTGACTCAGTTCAAACTCCATTAAATCAGAAACCAAAATTAATTCAGAGTTTTAATTTGCCGTTTCATCTATAGAAATATGAATAATTGCACATGCAAAATTTCAGCTGGATCAAACAACTGGAAGTGGGTCAGAGGCATTACTTATTGAACGCCCCTCGAATAGCTGTGCATCATCAGCATAACTGGCTTGCTCCGTTTTATGACAGAAAATATTAAACTAACTAACCAATTCTTCTATTTTAAGGGGAGCGTTCTCTGTCTGTCAGCTGAACATCTTACTTATCTGCTCTAATAAAGGGAAAAAAACATTCATTTAAAGAATTTTCTGTTCAGATCTGTTTGTGACTGATGCCTGTTGTGTTTTAGTCTGAACGTCTGGAAGAGAAGAGGAAGCAGGAGGAAGAGGAGAGGAGGAGGCTGCACCAGCAGGATCGTATCAGGTCACCCTTTGATACTGAGCTTTTTTTAAGTTCCGTTTGGTTTTTTGCTTTGTTCTGGATATGAGTCATAAATGTAGCACCAGGTGACATAATCATCTGCCCTTCACAAAGGAAGCGCCCATTTTCTGAGCCTCTGCAGCCCCACAGTGGAATTATTATTGAGTCTGGGGAAGTTATATTTGTCTTCATGGTGCGCTAAAACATTTACACCTTTTCAACCACAAATTGAATTGTTTTTTTATTGCAAGTTTATGTAATAGGCTGACTCAAAGTAGTGCAAAAAGCTTAAAAAATGTTTTGTAGATATGTGTAGAGCCTCTGTGGATGAAGCTAATGTGTAGCTACAGCAGCACGTCCACTGGTTTCTGTTCCTATTCCATTTTTATATATCTACAGGCTGACATTTTTACAAGTTTGTTCCAAAATAGTTGAATATATTTTGCACGTTTTGCCAAGGTTCTAATTGACTAATTGACAAGGTTCTAATTGTGGGCTTTGACTAGGCCGTTCTAGCACATGGTTACATCTAAACCCTCCCATCGTAGGTCTGGTTTAAGGTCGATGTCACGCTTTAGATTGATATCCATCTCAAGCCTTTTGCAACCATAATACTTTATGTTCTATATGAACATGTGACTATTGGAGACCTTATTATTTTTCCCATTAATTTGAAAATTATTATCTGCTTTGTGTTACTCTGTTACAAAAATCTCATTTAGATAAAAAAAATAATAATTTAGTGAAATGTCAAATTATTATTCATTCTACAGGATGGATGGATGGATGGATGGATGGATGGATGGATGGATGATGGATGGATGGATGGATGGTTGGATGGATGGATGGATGGATGGATGGATGAATGGATGGTTGGATGGATGGATGGATGGATGGATGATGGATGGATGATGGATGGATGGATGGTTGGATGGATGGATGGATGGTTGGATGGATGTTGGATGGATGATGGATGGATGGATGGATGGATGGATGGGTGGATGGATGGATGGATGGATGGTTGGATGGATAGATGATGGATGGATGGATGGATGGTTGGATATATGGATGATGGGTGGATGGATGGATGGTTGGATGGATATATGGATGGATGGTTGGATGGATGAATGGATGGTTGGATGGATGATGGATGGATGATGGATGGATGGATGGTTGGATGGATGTTGGATGGATGGATGGATGGATGGATGGATGGATGGATGGTTGGATGGATAGATGATTGATGGATGGATGGTTGGGTGGATGGATGGATGGATGGATGAAAGGATGGATGGATGGATGAATGGATGGTTGGATGGATGATGGATGGATGATGGATGGATGATGGATGGATGTTGGATGGATGGATGGATGGATGGATGGATGGTTGGATGGATAGATGATGGATGGATGGATGGTTGGGTGGATGGATGGATGGATGGATGAAAGGATGGTTGGATGGATGATGGATGGATGATGGATGGATGGATGGATGGATGGATGGCTGATGAATAGATGATGGATGGATGTTGGATGGATGGATGGATGGATGGATGATGGATGGATGATGGATGGATGGATGGATGGATGGATGATGGATGGTTGGATGGATGGATGGATGGATGGATGGATGGATGGATGATGGATGGATGGATGGATGTTGGATGGATGATGGATGGATGGATGGATGATGGATGGATGGATGTTGGATGGATGGATGGATGGACGATGGATGGTTGGATGATTAATTGATGGATGGATGATGGATGGTTGGATGATTGATTGATGGATGGATGATGGATGGTTGGATGATCGATTGATGGATGGATGGATGGATGGATGGATGGATGATGGATGGATGATGGTTGGATGGATGGATGGATGGATGGATGGATGGATGGATGGATGATGGATGGTTGGATGATCGATTGATGGATGGATGATGGATGGTTGGATGATTGATTGATGGATGGATGGATGGATGATGGATGGATGATGGATGGTTGGATGGATGGATGGATGGATGATGGATGGATGATCAATTGATGGATGGATGATGGATGGATGGATGATCGATAGATGATGGATGGTTGGATGGATGATCAATTAATTGATGGATGGATGGATGGATGTTGGATGGATGGGTGATGGATGGTTGGATGATCGATTGATGGATGGATGATGGATGGTTGGATGATCGAATGATGGATGGATGATCAATTAATTGATGGATGGATGGATGTTGGATGGATGTTGGATGGATGGATGGATGGATGGATGTTGGATGGATGTTGGATGGATGGATGATGGATGGATGGATGGATGGATGGATGTTGGATGGATGGATGGATGGATGATTGATTGATTGATGGATGGATGATGGATGGTTGGATGGATGGATGGATGGATGGATGATGGATGGATGGATGGATGGATGATCGATTGATGGATGGATGATGGATGGATGATCAATTAATGGATGGATGGATGGATGGATGATGGATGGATGATGGATGGATGGATGATGGATGGTTGGATGGATGGATGGATGGATGGATGTTGGATGGATGGATGGATGATGGATGGATGATGGATGGTTGGATGGATGATGGATGGATGATGGATGGATGGATGGATGATTGATGGATGGATGATGGGTGGTTGGATGGATGGATGGATGGATGGTTGGATGGATGGATGGATGGATGGATGATGGATAGTTGGATGATCGATTGATGGATGGATGATGGATGGTTGGATGATCGATTGATGGATGGATGGATGGATGATGGATGGATGATGGATGGTTGGATGATCGATTGATGGATGGATGGATGGATGATGGATGGTTGGATGATCGATTGATGGATAATGGATGGATGATGGATGGTTGGATGGTTGGATGATCGATTGATGGATGGATGATGGATGGATGGATGGATCATGGATGGATGTTGGATGGATGGATGGATGGATGGATGATGGATGGATGGATGGATAGATGATGGATGGATGGATGGTTGGGTGGATGGATGGATGGATGGATGAAAGGATGGATGGATGGATGAATGGATGGTTGGATGGATGATGGATGGATGATGGATGGATGATGGATGGATGTTGGATGGATGGATGGATGGATGGATGGTTGGATGGATAGATGATGGATGGATGGATGGTTGGGTGGATGGATGGATGGATGGATGAAAGGATGGTTGGATGGATGATGGATGGATGATGGATGGATGGATGGATGGATGGATGGATGGCTGATGAATAGATGATGGATGGATGTTGGATGGATGGATGGATGGATGATGGATGGATGATGGATGGATGGATGGATGGATGGATGATGGATGGTTGGATGGATGGATGGATGGATGGATGATGGATGGATGGATGGATGTTGGATGGATGATGGATGGATGGATGGATGATGGATGGATGGATGTTGGATGGATGGATGGATGGACGATGGATGGTTGGATGATTAATTGATGGATGGATGATGGATGGTTGGATGATTGATTGATGGATGGATGATGGATGGTTGGAAGATCGATTGATGGATGGATGGATGGATGATGGATGGATGATGGTT